ACTTGAGTAAATGTACTTTAGTTACATTGCAGCACAGATTACTCTTTTGGGAACCGTTTTTAAAAATAAATCCACCTGCATGTGATGCTGGAGCTGCACTTGGATCCAGACCTCCTCTACGGGACAGCGCCCCCTGCAGGCCACCCGCCCCGCTGGATAATATTTACCCAGGCCCTGACGTCACGGGGCCAGTTTCCCAGGATTGCTGCGGGAGTCGGAGGCTGCAGGGCGGGGAGAGTGTGGCCCAGGCTGCCGGAGCGGATACCGATCATCTGGAGACGACCGGCACGGAGGAGGCTGGAGACGTGCGCTTCCTTTGTGGGAATTTTAAAAACTATTTTCCTTGAAACACGCTGCGGAGGAGTCCCGGGAGTTTCCATTTAAACGAGGTAAGGAGCACCGGCATGCACCGGGGAGAATTTATCGCAACGAGACCGTGATGTTAGCTAGCTGACGGGCTACAACACAGCAGCGTCCCGGTGCTAGCAGCAGCAGCAGCAGCAGCCGGGGAGGCTGTCAACACACCGTAGCTTCCCGGGAGGAAAACAGTCAACACAGAGCTGAGAGCTGAGAGACGAGCCCTTGACACGACTGAGCTTTAGCTATCAGCGTTTTTCTCCAAACTAACAACAGGTTTTTAATATTAATTGAATATTTCTGCAGCGTAAATCGTGCCTGGAATCTTGTAGCTTTGTTGAGAGGAGTTGACGCCAGGCCTCCTTCAAACGTTTGGCAATAAACAGTTTTGTTGATGTTTAATAGAAACCTATTTGGAAAAGTACACGATTCAATACATATTTAGAATAAATACGAGACACTCTTAAATTCGGCTTATATAATAACCACCGTGCCTCCTTTTGTTTTATTGGAGCGTCAACTTTTTATTGCACTGCCATTGCCACCAAAGGGAAGGTTCTGGAGACAGAACACAGCAGAAATAACCGGCAAACAGTATTAAAAAGTTGGATTATTTGAGAGTGATGATGCTATGTGAATATTATATATGCCGGATTAAGGAGAAGCGTCTCCTGCATTAGCAAAAGTGATGATTCATTGTTCATAGAGCGTGAATGTATTAAAAAGGCAAGGCGATTCCTAAATCTCACCTTTTGTGAATGAGGTTCGGCTCAACGTGAGATAGTATTTAGTGAGCGGGGACGAGTATTTACCAGCAGCCTTATTACATTAGAGAGAGTTGAAAGGGACAGAGCTTGGCAGCCGTGATGAGGATTCACTGGTGCGTACATGACACGGGAGGCTGTGTTGTTGTCCAGCAGCAGCAGCACCAATATGTCACATCTCACAACATGAGCACGGCTGCGGCCTGCACACCCAGCACACTGCTGCTGCTGCTGAGCCTGGGAAGAAGAACAAGAATCAATGGACATGCTTTGCATAAGAAAAAAAGGGGGCCGTGGGTAGTGGGTTTGATTGCAGTGATATTATTGCTGGGGCGATGATACAAGATAATGTGGCATCTTCAGAAGTGTGGATGCAGGGAGCAAGCTCAGCCACTGCTGTGGGTTTATCTGTGTTGCATGATTATATAAGAGTTCTCAGTGCTTATTGTGTTTGTTCTCAGCTTGTTGTTGTGCTGAAGCTGCCTTAAAATCACCATTATAGCAATTTTACTCTCCCGACGCAAGAAAACGTGTGATTTACACATACTAGGTAGTCTTTAATTGTGCTCTGAATATATATTTATTTATGCACGTGCATGCAGATTGTGCCATTTTTAACTTGAACTATGATCTTATTATTCCCGTAGTGCTTTGAGCATTATAATGTGCCTTCCTCACATGTCTGTCGAGGTGGAGGCCTCTCATTTCTGAAGGGACTTTGACTTTTGCTCCTTCCTCCCAACATCCTTGTTTTATGGCTGAACTGACATGTCGTTGCATTATATCACAGCAGGAAACAGCGCTTGGGTTAAGCAAGCCGTCCTTCCTGAGGCTGGGGAACTTCTTGGATCGAGGTCCTCTTGAGGAAATAATCCTGAAGGATTCCATGTTTGTTGGATTAGTTGGATGACATTATGCTTTCTTGGGAAGTTGTTTCTTTCTGTTGTAGTGATAAACAAAACAGGGCACGACTGGGCTGTAAACTTTAATTGGTATTAAGTAAGAAATCTGGATATGATTGTTTTATTTGGCTGCAGAGATGTGACCTCTCAAGGCATCATGGGTAGTGGCTAATGTCCAAGCGTCTTGTTCATGATAAGCTGTTTATATGCATCCTTATCCACTTAAAATATCCCTGTATCTGAGGATTCAGAACTTTAGACAGCGTCAGTACGCAGCAGTAGGCGAGTGAATCCCTGCACGTGGTTTTCCAGTTTACATGTTTATGCTGGATGTGTGTGTTCTCTCTTATCAGCTCTTGTGTGGCGTTTTCCTCACATTGTCACTCTGTGGAGGAAGCAGCTTGAGGTGGGAGAGTGGAAATAGCGAAACTGACAGCTACCTAGTCAAGGAGTTCCTGGAGTTGGAGATTGTACTGACTGCAGATTGTTGTTTTGGTAGCTTTAGAGCAACACCACAAACAAAATAAGACATTGTAGTCTGAATAAAATTAGTGTTTATCCTCCTATACTGCTGTGATATTGTTGTTGTATGTTGCTTGTTTTTTGTTACCCCTCCAACATTTTCCAGCTCATTTGACATATAACGACCACTGACGAGCTTGTTAGAAGACTCATTAGCTGCTAGCTCAGCTAATAGGATGCTAACAACGTTATCTCTGTCTCATAATTGTGCATTTCCTGTTTTGTAGAGCAGTTTACTCCAAGAGAGGAGCACAAGAATTTAAGCTACAAAACCGTCCTCCATTTTGGAGTCCGTGGCTTTTTGTTCCCAAACAGTTAGCTTGTTTAGGACGGCTTGCTATCGGTCAAAGATGCAAATCTGTAGCCAAAGTTTACCAAAGTTAAACTGGACACTGAAAAGATGCTCATATTAGGCCTTTAAAGAACCCATATTACACACACTTACAGGTTCAGAGTTTTATTTTGGGGGTCTACTAGAAAATGTTTACATGCTTTAATGATCAAATCTATTTTTTGTTCTCTCATACTGTACATAGCTGCAGCAGCTCGTCTTTTCTTTCTGAAACGCTCTGGTTTAGCATCTGTCGCTTTAAGTCCCAGGCTGCTCTGATTGATCAGCTACGCCAATAAACGCTAGGTAGCATTGGTTATGCACCCTATCCCAGATCTCTGAGTATGAACAGAAAGATGTGACTCTAGTAGCAAGAAAACAACTGCAAACTGCGATTTTGTTTGGGGGTTGTACCAAACTAGCTACAAATGCTAATGTGTTACATGATGATGTCTCTGAGTTACAAAACAAAATTCTGGACTACAGACAAGGTGTTTTAATGCATTTCAGGACCAGTGTTTTCTGCGTGGGAGACAATGACTCTCTTTGGTGTGGAGTTTGAGGAGCTTTGTCATTTCACAAACCTTCGCACAATAAAGCTAGATCCAACCTAAAAAGCAGAATATGGGCTCTTTAAGATGTCTGGCTGTGAAGCTGCAATTTTAGAGTTTCAGGAAGTCCTATTAATGCTTCCCATAGAACGTGTCACCTGACCCACAGATTCTGGGGTTCGGATCGGCCTCAGTCCAAATAATTATCAGCTGAGTTATATTCTATGTGGTTCTTTGATTAAAAAGGTTGAAGCCTGTGTACATTAAAGGAGGAAAAGTTGTTAAGACCCAAATTACATTATGGCGAGAAACCTCAAACCACCGAGATAGTGTATTCAGTGTTCAGATCCGTCCAATGCGTCAGAATGATGGACAAAACCTGATTTCTGATAGAAGTGGTAGCTTCAACATACACCTACAGGATCATTACTTCAGTAACAGTCAGGATATCATCGACAGGATATTTAACGTGGGAAGATAGAATCATGAAAACAGAGCAAGCGACCTCTGAGTGACTCTGTTGCTCAACAACAGAGTCAAAGTTCAGTAAAGTTGAACCCGACATAAAGGGTTCTGCATTGATTCACTTCACCGCTGAAAACATCCACAGATGGAAGTGATTCCTTTGAAACAAGCTCATTTTATTTGGAAAGTTTGCTTTTATACTGGATGAAACTGTCACTATGTTTACCATGTCCAAACATGGCCGACGCATCTGTGTTATGTCCCAAGTTCAAGTCCTGCTATCAGAGGCCCGGCTTGGCTGAGTTACTGCCACAGAACTGGTGTAGCTGCTGTCAGAAAGTGAGATCCTGAACCAGGATGCAGCAAATCACCTCACAGCTCCAACAGCAGCACAGCGTAGCATCAACTTTCTCCACGGAGCAGGAGAGTTCATACATATCTTGTTTCCAGTAAGGACATATTAATGGTGGTGGTACATCCCCCCCTCCCCTCCGCCCCACCGTCAGCCTTTGTAATTAGGGGAATGTGAGCCGAATTAGTCACGCCACCCTGAGCAGACCGCAGCCTCTCGTTGTTGACGTCGATGAAGAGTGTCGACTTACGTGCCGTCTGCGAGCCCGGCCGCCTCGCTCCGGGGGTTTTCTGCTCTGAGACGAGGTGCAAGATCTGACTTTGTTGTGGTTTCGTTCACGCGCACAAACGCACGCTGCTGGATTACAGGGGAAGCAGGGTTGTAAACAAAAGTCTGGTGGACCTACAAGGAGGTCAGTTATGAGGAAATCTCCCCATGCTGCTGCAGTGTTGGTCTCTTCATCTTAACTCTAGCGTTTTTCCCTTCGTCTGCTATGCTACACTAATTTCTTGAGCAGGAGTGGTAACTGCTGCCTATCAGGTGTCAACATCTGTCTCTTGATACCCATAAACTCTTGCAATTTAGGGGTTGTTTCCTGCAGTGGGGTCCGGTGGGGGACAACCTGAACTGCATTCCTCTTAGAAAGGACAAACACTACTTGGTGCTTCTGGAGTTCAAACAGCGTTAAAGCTGAACTCTTGTAGTCCATCAGCTATCAGATAAACAGATGTGTGATTTTTATAATCATTTTTTCTCAATTATCAGGGAAATTTTCACAAATGCCAAGATTACACAGGATGATTTGGGTACTTGTAGTTAATCCTTCTGAGCTGGTCCAATCAACATACACTTGGTCAGTGGACGCACTCATGTGCACGCAGTAGATAAGACATTTTACGTGCTGCCCATCACCAACACACATAAATAAGCTGGATGCACAGATGAATATGTCGGTGGTTGGTTCACATGGCAAGTATCTGTTGATGGAGTTTCCTTAAGGCGACTAATTTCTGTTTACTTTCAGTCAGACTGAAAACAAGCCGTCAAAATGTGAAATTCAGGGTTGTTTTTTCTGGACAGCTGCAGTGAGTTTGTGCTTTTTGTTCCAGTATGTACTTGTTTGTTTGACTCTTTGTTCCCTTGAA